TACCCAACCAGTATGGCAGTTTTCTTAAAGTAATAAAGTACAAGTCTCCAGGAGCTGATAAAATACAGTTAAAAATTTGAAACAGATTCCACAAAAAATTATGTGTATTTTTAATTGTTTATTGTTGAACAAAAATTTATATACAAATAAAATATTGTATGGATAAGCTGATACCTAAGAAACGTGAGCTCAGCCAAGCAGCAAACTGGACATCAATTACTCTTCTGTCGAGTATTGTTAGGAATTTTCATTCTCTTCTTTCCAACATCTGAATGGTTTTTCTACCTTGTGGTAGTACTTCCACTGAAGCCCGCGACCCGCAGATTGTTTGTCGAGTGCCCTAACCACTATACCAAGCTATGCTCCGTAAGGATAAGAACGTGTTCTTGAAGTAAACTTGAACCCAATCAATCATGGCATTATATCAACTAGGGTTGATGTTTACGAATTTCCATCATCGAATATGCTCTCCTTTTCAGCTGTCGGAACGTTATAATGTGACGGTCAATCCCACTATTCCTTGGTAAAAAAGAGTAGCTCAAGAGTTGGCGGTGGGTGGTGTTGACTAGCTATCTTCTCTCTAGTTATCACTGCTAAATCAGGAACGGCTAGCGCAGATACCCTCTCAGGTAGCTTTGCCCAAAATTCAGAATAGATAAGCCAAACCAATTATCTTTACTATACATTTCTTGCAAATGTTAAAAATACTTTCTTGATCTGGTGTTTTTCTTATTGCTATTTTCTTTGCCACCACGACAGTTCTTGGTAATTAGACAGCGGGTATGACAAGAAGATTTGTCATATAGGATATCTAAAATAGCGTTGATAATATCTATAGCTTGACGTCTTTCGATAGCTAAGAATTCATTAATTGCCCCCATTGGCTCAGCGATAAGTCTGAAGGTTTAAAACACTATAAACCGGGTTTTGATATTCGTGGTGGCCACAGCACAGATAGTCAATTATGCAGCTTTAGGCTTAACAACAAACAAAGAAATCATTAATCACTTACCATTTAGATGATAATTCTGTAGGTAATGAGGTGCAACACAGTCTTTAAAAATGGAACTATTTTAATTTCATCAAGCAGTTCAGGAGCGAAAGTTTCTTCAGGACAATGCTTAGACTAATAATCAGCATTATCAACGTCAGACTATATAATACTAACTAAGGAAGGACTGTCAGACTATATAATACTCACTAAGGAAGGACTGTCAGACTATATAATACTCACTAAGGAAGGACTGTCAGGCTATATAATACTAACTGAAGGAAGGACTGTCAGACTATATAATACAAACTAAGGAAGGACTGTCAGGCTATATAATACTAACTAAGGAAGGACTGTCAGGCTATATAATATTAACTAAGGAAGGACTATCAGACTGTATAATACTAACTAAGGAAGGACTGTCAGGCTATATAATACTAACTAGGGAAGGACTGTCAGACTATATAATATTAACTAAGGAAGGACTGTCAGACTATATAATATTAACTAAGGAAGGACTGTCAGGCTATATAATATTAACTAAGGAAGGACTGTCAGGCTATATAATACTAACTAAGGAAGGACTGTCAGACTATATAATATTAACTAAGGAAGGACTAGAGTAACATCAATTCAAATGAGTATTACTTTCATTTTTATGTATAGTGGATAAAACGAGTAACCGTCTACGTTGATCACTCACGCTGCTTCTGTGTTGCTGACAACGTCTTTGCCATTTTATAGCATTCACAAATCCTCCCATGAAATTTTTGAGGATAAATATCATTGATATGGGGAATATCAGGAGTTAATATTGTATCTTCATTCACCAATAACTATCTTTTTTGCATAGCTATTGATCCAGTTGTCATTTCTTTATTACATTCTACATGATGTTTTAAACTTTGAGGTTGAGACAAACCAATTTTTGTACAGATTATCCTGTATTAATCCTCACAATTGTAAGGTTCATTTGATACAAACGTAACTGCTCAGGGATAAAGAGTATTTACAGTAGTGACTTTACACAAATGTATACAAGTTGCTACTTTCAATGTAAAGACAGTAAGTGTTTCGGAAATTCAGTTTGATCTGTAAACAGTCGTAAAGCGTTGTTGTAAAAATATTTTGAAAATTTGGCTGGTTCAGGTCTTTTGTCTATGCTGAGTCGTATAATACATTGGCCATCCAACTGAGGCTCATTATTACAACTTTAAGCTTCAAGACAAATTATAAGGGCTGCTAACCCTTATGAACTTCCTGCACATCAATAACCAATTACCGCCTAATGGTGATGGAGTCTCGCTGGGTGCACAAGCCTGGTAATTGGTCGCGTGCCTGTGTTTTCTTCCCTATATTTGACAAGAAGAAAAGGTATTGACGGCTCTCACCACGACATCATAATACAGGTTGGAATAGTTTGGTTCACGTTTCTGTATTGTAAATCATTTCATTAATTAAGAGGGTCATGATTACTCCCGCCGTTTACTCGCGCTTTATTGAACTTCTTCATTTTGTCATTGAAAGCACTGGGGCAGAAATCGAATTGTGTTAGCGCCGTTCAAAGGATCCTCGATTAGGTCAACAGTAAGTTTATCTGGACTTTCATAGTTAATATAGCCTATTGTGTAGCGTTGCACTAAAACAAACAAATTAATTCATTCTTTCCACTACAACGACCATCTCTGAGCTTTGTTTTAATTGGAGAGTCGAGAATGTGGAATCCAATAGAAGAGATGAACAAACAAACAAATAAAAAGATATAAAAATGTTATAATTCAGACATATAAGACTTTGTAATATCGTTCTATATACAGAACTCGTAATGCGAAAGACAATACAATAAAATGGAATAATGCTAAAATAATAGAATAATGATATGAAATATGCCTTCTAAATCCATGTAACTAATAACGCATTTAGCCAACCTGGCACTGAAGACAGCAAATTCTGGGTATACCTCTTGAAGGTGTTCAAATAAGTAGTAGTTCCTCCAAGTCCTGAAAAGGGTTATTTTTTGTGGATGTATTGGTTGGGATTTGATCCTAGATCTTTAAGAAAAGGCTGGTGCGTTATACACTTGTCTGGATACACACTAATAACTACATACTAATTACTAACTAGATTTTATCCTAGCATAGCAGTCAGAAAAACCTAGACACCTTTGAAAGCATTTAAATAACATAGTCTAGGAGACCCCAGACGAGTGTATAGCAAACACATCCATCAGCATTTCAATGGACAAACGTTCGAATCACAGCTACAATAACCACAGAAAAAGACCCTTTCAAAATTTAATTGAAACGAACAGCAGATTAAAAGGCGAAACTTACTAGGATATTAGTAACTAGTAGTTAATAAAACGATTAGTAACTAATTAACAGTTATACCTAAGCGATTTTATACGCTACTAAACCATAACGACAGTATTTAAATGTTTAACTTACCATTTAGTTTTAATACTTATTGAAAAGTGTTTGAAACGAGACTTTTAGACCTTTTGTGCCAGCTTTAAGACTGGTGTAAAAACGTTTTTGAGGCTAAACTCTACCGGAATGAGTATACTATTAAATGACTGTATCTGCTTGTCTGTCTTTCCATGACGTAAATGTTTCGACTTTCTAGCCTTTGATCATCATGGAACGTTCAGGAATTATTTTGTACCTTCCAGAGAGAGAATCTTAAAACCCCTTAGTTTATTAACTTTATGTAGGTTCTGGGGTACGTTCTACATTTCCAGATTACATAAAAGTACAAGAAAGATAACATATTGAAAATATTTACGTTATACGAGTTGGAGTGAATTTCTAGAAAATTGTATGCCAATATATAGTAGACCTTGATGGCGAATGACGCACTCACACGTCGTCCCGCCATCCCCATGGAAACAAAGAAATAAATGCGCGCTGGGACAGTTGCTGATAATTTAAAGGTAGCCATACAAAATATCTTTTTTACTATAATGCTGTTATTGTTGTTGTTAAGCACAAAGCTACACAATGGGTTATCTGCGTTATACCCACCATTTTTCATAGAAAGTGACTTATGAATTTGAAGATGACTAATAATGATTACGTATGGTCAAAATCAGATGCGGAACAAATGATTTTACTACTACTACGCTGAAAAAAAAAGAAACATATTTGTTCTCAGTTCTAGTAAGCCCGAATAATTTAAAACGATATCAATGGCTATAAATGACAACTTTAGCAAAATAGGGAAAACATTACGAAAGTTTCTTTGTCCTGTTTGAATTATATTCAGTAAAAAAACCTTCCTCTAGCTTAAGAAATGATCTAAATATATATATATATATATATAGAAATGTTTAGCTTTGTATGTTTGTTAGTAAGTGTAAAATTACACAATACCCCATCTGTGTTGTGCCCACCATGGGTATCGAAACCCGGTTTTCGCGTTGTAAGCACGCAGACTTGCCACTGAGCTATTACGGGAAGAGTGGGGGGGGGGCAAATTTTTAAAAGAGTATAATTGTATAATTACAATAATTTATTCATGTAATTATTAAAAAAAGGATGGAATGGAAATGTCATATTCTGTAAAATATGTTATGACGAGTTTTCTTTGAACATTTTCAAACTTTCTTTTTGATAAACAAAATTAATTCACTTTCTACCCACCAAAAATACTGTCCTGAACTACGATCACTGTAACTAATAAATTGGAGCTTTACATAAGTAATAAGTATAACTACAGTAAAAAAAAGGTATTTGAAAAAACAAAAATATTTGAGATCTATTTGATTTTGATCGAGAGATTGAAAACGGACAGTTATACAGACTAACAGATAGAAGAGTGTGCAGATAAATCGATAAACACGGTGTATCATAATTTTTTAATGTGTTGAATGTGGTTTTCTGAAATTCCTGTTTTTCTTAGGTTGAAAGGAAGATTCGTACATTACCGTGTTATCCAGTTTCTGTTGTCTCATTAAACGATGACGAAACCGAGGATTCTTTACACAATTATATTGGTTTTAATAGTCAGCATGACAACAACCGTTCAAGGTGAGGGTTTGTTTTTTCGTAGTGTTCTTTAGTGAATCCTAACGTATTTTTCAAATAATATCACACGAACTTGTAGATAAGCGCTTTGTTTGGATAATATTTGTAGAAACATTATGTAAACGAGTTGATAAGCACTTTAATTGGATACTGTTTCTACAAATATCATAAAGCGAGCTAATAAGTGCCTTAACTGGACTCTATTTCTACAAAAATCACATAAACGATTTGATAAGCTCTTTAAAATACCTTTTCCTCGAAATCACGCAAACAGTTTTTTTTCGTTAATCCCTCCAACGTTTTAGTTTTTCCATGAGCATCATATATATGGTTTTAATAAATAGTAATTTTAATAATTTAAATTGAAAGTATTTTACATTACTTTGTCAATAAATATTTAAATGTGTTTTTATTTATTTTGTGATCAATATAAGAATATAAATCTGCTGTACACTTAAAACAGAAACGTTGCACTGTATCCATTTCTTCAAAAAGTGTTTACTTCTGAGTTTATGAAAGGGTTACATATACACTGTCAGCATTTTAACGTTAAAATAATTTGAACGTATAGCGTTTTTAATGAGTATACATTGAGTATTGTACTGGAAGATACAGTTTTTTTAATGAGGATATATTGACTATTGTACTGGAAGATACAGTTTTTTTAATGAGGATGTATTGACTATTGTACTGGAAGATACAGTTTTTTGAATGAGGATGTATTGACTATTGTACTGGAAGATACAGTTTTTTGAATGAGGATGTATTGACTATTGTACTGGAAGATACAGTTTTATGAATGAGTATACATTGACTATTGCACTGGAAGGTACAATTTTTTTGAATGACCTATCTTTATAAACTCGGACTGTAAGAAAAATTGAAGATATACAATAAATAACTGATGATAAGATAAGGAAGTGTAACTAAAAAGTATTCCATTTAGTGTGTGTGGCATACTAGAGAGTCCCTGCCGCTTTAATTTATAGCTATTTTCAAATGCTCACAATTACTGTGAAAGCAAGCAAACCGTGAAGAGTAAAAATAATGGACTGAGACAGCAGTAAACATGATGAAGATCAGAATTTACATATAGACGTTTCATTACTTTGTTTTATCTTTCGTATTTGCATACATCAAAAACAGTAAGTACCTTTCTTAGATGCACTGGTGCATTAACAAAACAGTAACGTTGTTGATGGAATGATTTAGTGTTTTTTGTTTTCCGGAGTCAATTGCGTATAACTTTTGTTTGTAGAGTCTTTTGCTATAGTATCTCTAAAATGTATCTTCCAGACGGTGGCAGTGAGAAAAAAAAAACGGACAGCAGCTGTCGTAAAGTATAATGTTTATGAGGTTTAATCATATGTTTAAAATCACAACTATTCGCGGATATTTTAAGAGAGAACTACCTGGTGGTTCGTGTAGTGGCTAATACAAAATGGCAAGCTTCTGTAAAATATTGATGTAATATTCTAAAAAAGCACAGAAAACTCGCCTGAGAAACAAAACTGTACAACAAAGAAGAAAGGATTTGAGATAACCCAGTGACGACCACCAGTGGCAGAGCGGTATGTCTGCGGACTTATACTGCTAAAAACCGGGTTTCGATACCCGTGATAGGCAGAGCACGGATAGTCCTTTGTGTACATTTGTGCTTTATAACAAACAACAACAACAACAACCACGCGTTTGGAAAAAAACCTTTTATGCCTCTTTTATTTTCTTAATTGCATACAAAGCCAGACAAACACGTGAAAAAAAAAAGATGCACTACGATTATTAAGTTTTGAAAACAGTAAATATATTAGACCACCTATGTTTACAAGCGATAAACATAGGTACTTTCACCTAAGAAATAGGCCCGGCATGGCCAGATGGTTAAGGCGCTCGACTCGCAATCTGTGGGTCGCGGGTTCGAATCCCCGTCACACCAAACATGCTCGCCCTTTCAGCCATGGGGGCGTTATAATGTGACGGTCAATCCCATTATTCGTTGGTAAAAGAGTAGCCCAAGAGTTGGCGGTGGGTGGTGATGACTAGCTGCCTTCCCTCTTTTCTTACACTGCTAAATTAGGGACGGCTAGCGCAGATAGCCTCGTGTAGCTTTGCGCGAAATCCATAACAAAACAAAAACCTAAGAAATAAGGCGTGAATGTAGGAAACTTGAAGAATAATAATCATTCAACCATGTGAGTAGATACTTACTTCTTGCTAGAACAAATTGGAATATAATTCGATATTTTGATTCTGCAAAAAAAAACACTAAAAAAGGCAACAACCCCATGATATAATACATAATGAAATGATGGCACAAACGTTTCTAAATTACAACGGAAGAATGCCTTCATCGTTTTATTCACTTCATTCTTTTCTCGTACCTTTTAAGAATCTTTTTTTCTGAAGATCTTTACCCCCCAAGTGGCACAGCGGTATGTCTGCGGATTTACAACTCTAGATTTGTTTGTGAATTTCGCGCAAAGCTACACGAGGGCTATTTGCGCTAGCCGTCCCCTAATTTAGCAGTGTAAGACTAGAGGGAAGGCAGCTA